AGGGGGGCATATTGTGAAGGTTTTAATGTGTTATTTCTAATAACACGATTTAAATTTTCTAGATTTTATCAGAGTTTAAAAAAAATGATATGTATTGCTTTTTTTTGGCAGTTTCAGAGCCAAGTTAATGATTATTTAAATGTAATTGGATATTTAAACTGAAATATTTCTACGATATACCAGATAATATTCCTAATCTTCATTTTTACATATGAATTAAATAAAAAAAATTAGCATCACTTACAGTGGTTGTGAATAGTAGATTTTTATAAAGCATATGCTCAAGAATCAGTTGTCTAAAATATTTGAAATGTTTAATTTTTACATGTGAATACTGTACATTCCTAGTAAGATGGTTGTCAGATGTGGTGTCTTTTTTAAATAATTTGTATATATAGGTAAATAGCAATATATATATTTTTTTATATATCAAAATGTCCTCTTCGAAAGGTTGTGAAATGTAACATATCATTCCTGTTGTATTGTCTTTAATGTATATACACATGTATATATATATATGTATATCCAGGTGATGTGCAAGAAATTTTGAGTTCAGTAAATAATTTTGTTAAAACACAGCTCGTTTTTGGCAATTTTTAGCAAACAAATTCTTTAAAATGACAAAAATACCTAATTTCAAATTGACATGTGGTTGTTTAAAGCATTGTGTTAAAATTCTTCTAAAACTACACATAAATAGCATTCTTATAATTATTTCTTAAATGCAAGGCGTTTAAGTAAAACCTTAAAGATAACTGGCAAACCAGTTATTACTTCAGTCATTTTAGCTACTATATAGTGGTAATTGCTATGAAGTTGTTCAAGTATAAAATTTTGCAATTCTTTTTGTTGGAAATTTAAAAAAATAATTTTTTTTGAAGTTTGCAGAAATCCATAGCAAAATAAACTTTGTCATTATTTCTTGCATGTCATTTCCTTGACACATAAAATCATTGTAAATAGTGCTCTGTGTTAAACCTCATAATATTTAGATAATTTTTACATATCCTTAATATGTATATATATTTTATTTTGTATATAATAACATTTTTTTTATACAACAAGTCATTCCAAGCTCGTTAGATTACCACATATCATATATAGAAACATATCCTTGATTCTTGTAAATGCATTGAAACCAAGAAAATATCATCAATTTTACATCATATAACCAGTCCAGAAACAACGCTGTCATTCTCATATTTTTTATATTATAAAGATAATGAAAACAAGATGATTGTTGTTTTTCCTCTTTCCTTCCATTTTATATAAAAATGTACATTGGTTTATACAGAATTTGTTTTAGTTTGATTGTGTAAGAAGCTATAAGCTTATAGACACGCATTTGAATCCATTCCTGGAACCAACCAGTACTGAACAATAAGTATAAAGTTTCTTGCTGAAGGAAACAACGGCTCGCCCCTGACGGGGTTTCAAACATGCTCAGCAAGCGATCCTTAGATAACTCGGCCATGCCGCCACTCTTGTACAAGTACATTACAACTTCTGCAGTGCAACACGCTAGATAAATATTTTGGTTGTCCACCTGAGAAGTGTTTTTCTAAAGAGATTGGTATTTTTGTCTAAATGTTGGAAGAATGATTCTTCTGTTAGAGGTTATTTCTCTGTAAAAGTCCTCTACAGAGAGGATTTACTTGTATATGCCAAACCAGTAGGATTAATAAATCCTCTTTTGTCAATCTGTCCGAAAATTTTATATGACTTATTTTACAGCAAACACTAACTTGAATTCATAGAAATGTTATAAAAAGCCTGACCGTCAGTGAACATATAAGCATCATGATTTGATACAAAGATTAACCTTAAGTTAAAGCCCCTTTAAAGCTCCATGCCTCCAGTTGAGCCAATATATTTCATGAAAATATAGAGAAAAATGTACAAAGATTTTGAGAAAAGTAAAAAGACTTAAGATTCAAGTAATAATTTACATGTTCGGTGTGATGTGCCATTTCAAGAAAAATGTTGGAAAGTAGGAAAGACTAAAAGCATTTTGTGGTCAACTCGATCATATCATAAGAGCTCATATTCAAATCCAAAAGTTTTTATTATAATGCACCACAAAAAGGAAAGGCATATAGTTTTTGTAGTGTTCGAATAGCCTTCCATCTGAATTTTGTCCAGTTTATAACTTTGTCATTTATGGATGGTCTTTAAAATAATTTTGTATAAATGTAAAGCACATTGGATGCAACATCTAGGTCCAAGGCTCAAAAGTCAAGGTCAAACTCTGATTTCAGAAAATTTTAACAGGAACTTCAAACAGGTAGGGACCACACTCAACTATTTCTTACTTCTAAGGTCAAACTCATTTAAGATAAAATATTTCAGTTAAGAATACTCTTAGAAAACATAATTGTCTTGAACAAATTATAATTCATTGATGGTCAAGGTCGCATTTGAATTAATCATCATTTCCAGTTTTGTAATAAGTGTTCTTTTGTCAAAGAATGAAACATATCCATGAATAAATAAAGTTAAGACAATTTTAGTAAATTGCAATAATCGAAGGTCAATGTCAATAGATAGTCAAGGCCTTATTAGAGTATTTAACCATGTAGGTTTTGTCGTAAGGGGTCTTTTGTTCATACTTGTATCAAGTCATTTATAGTAAAGTCCAGTCCATGTCTTTTTTGTCATCCAGTGACAGACTTTGTAATAGTTTGGCTTAAAAATATTGGTTCTTTTAAAACAAGTTATGACGAGTTTGAAGATCAAGGTCACGCTTGGACTTGTAAGGTTAAAAGTTTCACAAAGTACATCAGTAGATCCAGTCATCAATTCTGTCAATCCATGAATGGATTTTGAAAATAACTAGGCATACTTCTTAGGCACATTAGGAAAACTTGTCACATGTAAAAAAACACTCGCACCAGTCAACAGATTAAAAGATGGAGGTTATACTTTTATGTCAAAATAGAACTTTGATGTTTGTGTCTGGTCATATCTTTGTCATTCATTCATGGATGCTTGAGAATATGAGCAAGTATTTGTAATTGTTTCTATATATGTGTAATACATTTTACAGTAATCAAGCCTGATGCACATATAGTTTATATAATGACGTAAGTTTCCTGAAGGATGATGATCTTGGCTCTCATTCTGTGCATTATTTCACACTCCCCAAGTAGCACCACTGAACTAAGTACTAGCTGGATTGCTTTTTCCAAAATCCCTGGTAGGATATGAACCTACACAGTGTGGGGTAAGTTGTTTGAAGTCAGTGACTTTACCTACTTGGCCAACAAGGGATGATAATCAACCAAAGGATACGTAGGGTGGATTTGCATACAAAGTTTATATAAACAAAAAACAACAAAGCAGATAATAAATAAATACTTTATTTCCTCAAGAGATTGAGTATGTTAATGGTTTTGTACAGTATAAATGGACAGATAGTACAAAATAACCCTTATTGAAAAAATATTTTTTGAGAAATGGTATAAAATGGAGACCTGTAACAAAGTTCTTAAACAGAAAAAGATGAAGTCTATTAGCAAACACATTAAATAAGCTACATATTTTTAGAGTTGGTAAAAATGTTTATTTATATAAAAAAATTTCAGACTGTTGATTGAACAAAATTATTATTTATTTACAGTTCCTAGTAAAGTTTACTATGGGAAAACTGTAGTGGTAAGCATTGAATAAAATGGTGCTAATATTGATAAGTCTTTAAAAACATTTTTTTTTCATATCACTTTTTTCTTACAAAATATATATTTATAGCAGTGTTCATGATAATTATCAAATCATACAGTCGATACACAAACCCATCCTTCATCTTATTTTCATACCATTTCTTTTTTAATGTAAATCATCAATAAATTTCATCTGAAAATTCAATACTGTAGCATATACAACCTTTAAAGCTAAGACTCATTAATTCTTTGCGCATCAACTTTATAAAAGTTGTAATGAAAAAAAAACCCATGTAAGTAAGCATCCACACTGCATGTATATCTGACAAAAAAGTAGCACCTATTGGCTAATAATAGTGAATTTCAATTACTACAATATTATCTAAAAACAAGATTTTTTTATATACTGGGCAGGAACCAGTTTCCGGACAGAATTCGAGTTTTTTTAATTGTTTATTTTTTAATAATAAACATGCATTAATAAAACTAACATTACAAAAAACCTGAGCTCTAACTATGTCCGATAACACAATTAATACTGCCTGGTGACGTAAGCAATGTACAAACTGAAGGGTTAAATTAGGTCAATAAAAGTGTAAATTGTTTACTCTTGCAGAACCAGTTTCCGGACATAAATTAAGCTGCTATTCATATCTGTTTTTAACAGATAATTATTCTAATATAACAAAAAATTTCTTCTGACATATTAGCTTTCTTATATAATTAAGCTGATTTACTGAAAAATGTTTATGATAGGAAAAATAACGATCACGTGATGGGTCTCGGAATGACTGAAAAGTGAAACGGATATTTTTGTGTGTACGGCAGCAACGAAGTGCGAAAGTGGAGTAAACCTAGTTAAACACCGTTTTCCAATACGTTACAGATTTAGTTTTGGGGAATTACAACCAATGAACTTCGAATGAAGTAGATTGTGCATTAATTGCTACCCCAAATTATATCCCGAAATAAACAAAATATTGCGCATGCGCAGAACAAATTACATGCCCCAAAGGGATATAAGGCTGTTTTTAAAACACAGGTAAGATATCCTCACGCAATTTTAATGATGTATCAACTTGGAAGGAAATTTATTTTCTCAAACAATCAAACCAAGCATCTTCATGACATATAATACCGATTGTCATCGATAAAGCCAAAATTAAGCCGTTATAATACTTGTCCGGAAACTGGTATTGTCCTGAAACTGGTTCCTGTCCAGTACATTTTTTTATAAGAGCTGCAATCACAGTGGTCTTACTATGAAGCAACTTTTTAAGCAAAAAAAAAAAACAACCATAAAAATATTAAACTTTAACATAAGGAGCCTGTAGCACTTTCAGGTGTAGATCAAATTTAGTCATAACCTTTAACCTTTTATTTCTATTTTGTAATTTAAAGCTGGTTGCCTCCAGATCAGCCAAAATATTTCAATAAAATCAAACTTGAGAAAAATTTACAAGGACTTCAGGAAAGTCAAAATATTCAAGATTCGAGTAATAATTGACATGTACGATTAATGACCGATTTTCAGTACTTATAACTATATTTCTGATGTGTTATTACATGTAAAGCTGTTTTTTAGCCAATTTAACCTCTTTTTGTAATTTACATGGGTTGTAAATGGAATTGATAATTTGTAAATCGCTTCCTTTTGGTTTCTTTACAATATTACACATTTTCAAAATTTACACAAAAGTTAGCATAAACCTGGAGACATGCTGCTTTAAACAGTCATTAGCACTATAAACAAATCATGTAAAACATATTGCAAATATGACAAATGTTGATTGGGGCCCAGATAGTGGTAAAATGTCTATGGTGTTATACGTTTAGGATCACGTGGGAATAACGAAGCCTTTCTAATATTGTCAAGTCCTAGATATAACATGGTCACTCTTTCCAATCCTAGAAAATACAATATAGTATAATAAATTATCTGTGATACAAAAATTTGAAAAAAATATTTCAACAGGTTTTCAATGAAAATGTTTCAGTAGTTTTTTTCCCTATCCCAATACAAAACTTTTAAATATTCACTGATCCCAAATGTGACATATATGCATTAAAAGAGATCTGAATACAGAATTTGACTTTTACTTTTGTATATATGAACCACCAATATGTAACAGCTTGTATATTATATTATGTGTCCTTCAAAGTGAAACAACATATACATGAATAATATTTTGTATAGAAAGAGCTTCATATAAAATATATGTTAATAATGTTAACACCATAGTTACCTATACCACCACCAGCATGGGGAGGTGCTCCATATCTGAATGAATCTATATATCCTTTGATAGTTTCAAGATCTGAAATACACAGATTAAAATTCTAAATATTCAGCCAGAAATTTTATTTAACTGAATTAAAATATAAATACAGTCGACTCTCGTTATCTCGAGGTCATCAGGACCGTCCAAAAATTATCGAGATAACGAAATGTCGAGATAAACATATTAGGATTTGAATAAGGCAGAATCTGATTTTTACAAAAGACATGTGCATACCTTTTGTCAAATAAAGTATGATATCCCAATCATGTCTTGTTTTCATAGGCCTAGTCCATATTTAAACTAGAAATGTGTCATCATGCCACGGATGCCCCCGCATGCAGCCAAAATTTCAGATGTTATAATATTTAGTTCCAAATATGTTTGCACAAATTATTGTTTTCATTTTAAGTTCAAAGCCCTTAAAACTTTTCAATGTTAACACAAACCATTTTCATACAATGTTCAAGGCACTGAAATTATTCAGTCTTAACCTTTTGAAAATAGCATATTTCATATTTGTAGCCAAAATAATGGCTACATACATTTCAACAAAAGTATGAGTGCTGAAACTGAAAGTTCAAAATTTTTCCAATATTCAAGAAAGATAAGTTTGTCCAAGATCATTGAACCACGACCAAATTCAAACTTAAACTGCTTATTCCTAAGATGTATCTATATTATTTTCAAAGTGAAAGGGACATAACTCTGCCAAAAAATCATCAAACCATGACCAAATTCCAACTTGACCTGCCCATTCCTTTGACATATCCATATGTCAAATTTGAGTTGAATATGTAACACTGTTGGGTAGATAATGACCAGAACTGGTCAATTTCATATTATTTTCAAAGTGAAAGGGGCATTTCTCTGCCAAAAATCATTGAACCATGACCAAATTCGAATTGGCCTGGGCATTTCAAAAACATATCCATATGTCAAATTTGAGTTGAATGTGTTGTACTGTTGGGGAGATAATAAACAGAAACTGAAAATTTCATATTATTTTCAAAGTTCAAGGAGCATAACTCTGCCAAAAATCATCAAACCATGACCAAATTCGAACTTGACCTGTATTTTCTCATGACATATCCATATGTCAAATTTGAGTTGAATGTGTTGTACCGTTGGGGAGATAATGAACGGAAACTGAAAATTTCATATTATTTTCAAAGTAAAAGGGGCATAACTCTGCCAAAAATCATCGAACCATGACCAAATTCAAATTTGACCTGTATTTTCTCATGACATATCCATATGTCAAATTTGAGTTGAATGTGTTGTACCGTTGGGGAGATAATGAACGGAAACTGAAAATTTCATATTATCTTCAAAGTAAAAGGGGCATAACTCTGCCAAAAATAATCGAACCATGACCAAATTCGAACTTGGCCTGTATTTTCTCATGACATATCCATATGTCAAATTTGAGTTGAATGTGTTGTACCGTTGGGGAGATAATGAACGGAAACTGAAAATTTTATATTATTTTCAAAGTAAAAGGGGCATAACTCTGCCAAAAATCATCGAACCATGACCAAATTCAAATTTGACCTGTATTTTCTCATGACATATTTAATGTCAAATTTGAGTTGAATGTGTTGTACCGTTGGGGAGATAATGAACGGAAACTGAAAATTTCATATTATTTTCAAAGTAAAAGGGGTATAACTCTGCCAAAAATCATCGAACCATGACCAAATTCAAATTTGACCTGTATTTTCTCATGACATATTTAATGTCAAATTTGAGTTGAATGTGTTGTACCGTTGGGGAGATAATGAACGGAAACTGAAAATTTCATATTATTTTCAAAGTAAAAGGGGCATAACTCTGCCAAAAATCATCGAACCATGACCAAATTCGAACTTGACCTGTATTTTCTCATGACATATCCATATGTCAAATTAGAGTTGAATGTGTTGTACCGTTGGGGAGATAATGAACGGAAACTGAAAATTTCATATTATTTTCAAAGTAAAAGGGGCATAACTCTGCCAAAAATCATCAAACCATGACCAAATTCGAACTTGACCTGTATTTTCTCATGACATATCCATATGTCAAATTTGAGTTGAATATGTGCAACCGTTACTAAGATAATGAACGGAAACTGATGATGACGGAATGACAGAATGACGGAATGACGGAAGGACGGAATGACGGAATGACGGAAGGACGGAATGACGGAAGGACGGAAGGACGGAACAGGGTAACACTATATGCCCCGGCCATTACATGGCGGGGGCATAAAAAGAAACATTAGCGGATGTTTACCAGCGGGAATACGGGTGTCTGTGATAAAAACACATAGTGAGGTTTACTCAGTAATACACACCGATATAGTGAAAACATTGTTTTCAAGGTGGTTGATCTAGATATCCTCCCGGGTTATTTATCGAGATTGTTCGACCGCTGATGGATTTGGTGGTGATGTTGTGAAACAATATTGCAACGATAGCATTTTTATATTTCCACTATTTCATTTACATTTAAAGTCATAATGAATTGATACAGTGTTCGAATATTTAAAATTCACTCATTTTGGACATAAGTCAATCAACACGCTAAATAGATTAACTTTTATAAAAAACAGCTTAACTTGTTATAAACATAATCATCATTATGAGACGGGCTTTTGAGCAATTATCGTCTAGTTTGTGTTTTTCACACGTCTGAAGGAACAGACAAAGAAAATTATTAGTCGAGATAAACAAAGGATAATAGTGTGAAAATAACTGTTGGGGCTGAAATTTTACATCGAGATACTGAAAATATCGAAATAAAAAAATCGAGATAAACAAATATTTCCAATATAGATAAAGAAGGAAGAAAATGGGGACTTTCAAAATTTCATCGAGATAACGAAATATCAAGAAAAGCGATGTCAGGATAACGATAGTTGACTGTATATATGATTCAATCTGTACAGTTCTTAACCATACATCACAGAAAAAGTTTTCATCTCTATTTCAGAACAGGAACGAAGAAGAATGATAATATACATATGACGTATAATGTTTTAAAAGAGATAGTGTTAGACATTATTTGTGGTAAAATTGAGCATAACAAGATGTTATAAAACATCAATGTCTACAACTCATACAGTCATATGTAAGTTAACAGTTAATAAATTAAATTCAAGTGAAATTTTATGAATTCCCATTTGACTGTCAAGGTCATTTAGGTTTGTTCTTGTTTTGGGTTTTATGTCACACCAACACAGTATAGGTCATATGGCAACTTTCCAGCTTTACTGGTGTGCAGGAAGACCTTAAGTGCCATTCCATGCATTATTTCAGGCACAAATGGGCAACTGAGTAGAACTTCTAACTGTAAGCTAGCTGAATAGAAGAATCCAAAGTCCAACATCTGTGAGTGACAAGTGATCATTTAGGAACAGCCTAACAATCATTTGTACTTAACACTCTAGATATTCTACTTTTGGTTTACCAAATCTATACCTACTTCACGAACATACTGAAAGACATCAATATGTTAAAGCATTACACATAATAATCTTTCTTCTAGTAAAATGTATGAGTAGACCAAGACAATGAAATGAGCCGCATCATGACAAAACCAACATAATGCATTTGCGACCAGCATGGATCCAGACCAGCCTTCGCATCCGCGCAGTCTGATCAGGATCCATGCTGTTCGCTTACCAACTCTATTAAAAGTAGAGAAACTGATAGCAAACAGCATGGATCCTGATCAGACTGCGCGAATGCGAAGGCTGGTCTGGATCCATGCTGGTCGCAAACCCATTATGTTGGTTTTGTCATGACGCGGCTCAAATGAATATTTCCTCACCAATTTCATGTAGTTTGGCACGTTCAGCCAGAAATTTGGGGTCGTGAATTCTCTGAGCACCGGACATAATCTCCTCTCCACGCATGAAGAAATCGTATGAGTTCGACCATTTCTGTATGATATACATGTAGAACAAATAAATGAGTAATAACATTTTTTATTCTATACTGCTAATTAAAGTGGAAACCATGGAAATAAATTGAAGAAAAATGTATGTATTGCTAAATGTAGCAGCTACTAAAATCAAGGTTCTACATAAACATTTTGGGATTTTCTATTGCTATTTATGAAACAACTTAAAAAAGTTATGATTAAGGTTAAAGTTTGCAGACGGAAACGGCAATGCTGACATGACTGTAACAATAAAAGTAGAGCTTATAAGACAAGAACAAAATTCAGTTAATATGAGAATCAATCAGTCTTCAACGATTTCTAAAAATACACACTATTTTAATGATATATTTATAAATAATTGATAAATTATATTACTAGATATCTGTACAAAGTATATACCAGTATACTTACAATGTTATTAGGATCAGGCATGGTATAGAAAGGTCGTACAGCCAGGGGGAACTTGTCCAGGATGTAGAAGTCGGTGTCATACTGTAATAACAATAATTAGTTCATTTCAATACAACTCTATTTATAATACCTTTACCAGTTAAAAACTTCTCCAGTCAAATATCATATCCCTACTACAAGTTCAATTCTGTTCCAAGTCAAATTCTGTAAATGACTTATGCATAAACTTGTGAGTATCCATTTATAATTTTAAAGACAAATTCAAAATGAGCAACAATTATTATTGCTAGCACTGTTACTGTAAATATTTTTTTATCATATATGCTTGCCACTTTGACTACTCTGTAAATACTGGTATTGCAAGGCCATTCATATACATACAAACGTGGTGCAAAAGCTTGGTAAATTTTACTACAGACTTTTATGAAAATAGATTCTTTTCATTTGTAAACTGTTCTTATTTAAGATATGCTGTAAATGGAATATTATATTCATGTAGATACAATACTAATAATACAATTTTATTTAATATCTTCAATAAATTTAGAATTAAATCTACACTCATTTAACATCCCCTGTACTGTACACAATATTTGAGATAAAACATCATGCATTTTCTGAAGATTCTATTTTCTGAGTACATAACCATTCCCAAAACCATATAGAAATCATAGCTAAAACAATATATCTCCAATTATTAATTTTACAATTACATGTGTAATTATACATTTTATCATATATAGGCCTAATTAGTAAACATTTACACAATGACCAGAAAAGGCGAAACAAAAATATTGGTTATTAAATACCATACCTTAGCTTTAACTAGCCTGCCAAGTAGTTTTTCATTTGGTGTACTCAAATCTTCATCCTCCTCCATTTCAACACCAGCTTCACGTAACATAGCCACACCCTCCTTGTATTCTAACCTCAAACTATAAATGTATCGAAATAAATGTTTCCCTCGTATAATAATCTTTCATATCTTAAAATTTCCAAGACAGGACTTTATCAACTTTTGCAATATTTCGGTTACTTAACTGTAAGTAAAATTGCTTTAAACAAAAAATAAAATATGATTTTAACACATGCCCTGATTGTTATACTGCCAAGAATTCAAAGCATATCAATCAAAATTCCCATCCAATCAAGTTGGGAAAGTGGAAGAAACTATTACAAATTACAAATTCATATACAAATATTGCCCATCAAACAGGGCAGTCAAGTGCATTATTACACAATATAATATTAGGCACAACTTAAAAAAAAGATTGCTTTCCGTCATATGACATCAATAAACCCAATGTCAGGAAAAAAAATTTCTATGCTCAATTTAGTTTAACATATTTTTATCCATTCTGTGTTGTATCAGCATGTTAGAATGGAAATAGATATTATTTTTTTGCATTATAGTGTAACAATACATGATTTATCATTCAAATGTTTTGTAATTAATCACTCAGGCCTATGAACCTTTGTGAATTTATTCCTGTGCATTTGAACTCGAACTGTGCATTATTCTACAACAATGCACTATTTCCAAAGTATATACCTAGGTTCCAAAAATTTGAAGGGTTCTGCAGGAAACTGTTTATTGACTGTTGCTATTTCCTCTGCGTATCTGAAACATTAATTTGTTATTTCATAAGGTTGTAACAGTTTACCTGTATACCGATATATTGCAATATGAAAAAATAAACTTTGTACCACAGTACGATTTTTGGAAAACCGTTACTTTATAAAATTCATAATTTTCAATTAATTGCCTTCTAATTTCGTACAAATTTTGCATAAAATCTTTAATTGGCGAATTTTATGAGCGCCAACATAAGATAACAATATCTGACCCAGATGTGAAAGGTAAAGCGCAACTAGTTTTGTTTATCAAATTGTGTGACACTTTACTTTCTATTTATTCCTTACATTTTTATTAAGTTTCTTATAAGAATATATACATATAACAATAATATATAATGTTACTCCATCAAAACATATACACAACAATACGTATTGCAATATATTGCAATACGCTTCGGCAAAATGGAAATATCTTGCAATGCGGTTTTTGCTGTATTGTTACACCCCTATTATTTTAGTTCAGAATTTTTAACATAATACTTATATATAATTGTCAAAATATTTTAATTAAACTTCAATTAAATGTAAAACATCTTTGTCCCATATACAAAATATTTTTTACAGATATTTCTTATTTTTGTAAAATCATTCATGGTTACCTCCTTGCCCATAACTCTTCTAAGATACCTAACAGTACTTCCCTCATGCTAGTGCTTCATGTACTTTTGGTTAATTAAAACATATTACTATATAAACTTACAGAGAGTCTTATAAAGTCTGATCAACTGTCTCAAATGAAGTCTTCTCAGACTGTTATGGTAAGATTTGTATGTAACTGTTCTGATGTCAAAATATTGACCAATTCCTGACTTTAGAATGTGCTTATGCATACATACACTAGAATACATGTGTAGTAAGGTTACGGTAAAACACTTATTTCCTAAGATTTACTAGGTATAGAATTTCCAGTGTAGAAACAGAATCACTGTTTCCTTTACTGCAAGCCTATACAATTCAATGTATATGGGTTATTGCCACAACAGACACCTTAAAATATCTTTCATTGTAACATAAACAATGTATAGCAAGCTAACACAAGTCCACTTTTATCATCTTTGCGATCACATGAAATAGGTTTCTACAACGCAGAATCATACCTTGTTAATGACTTGTACCAATCTTTTAAAGAAATATACAGACCTGTCCCTCAGACCTTTAAATATGGAGACAAAGAGATGATCGAGGGCATCTATAACCTCATGATAATGATAGTTAAAACACATTTCTAAATCTACACCAACAAACTCGGTCAGATGGCGATGTGTATTCGCATTTTCTGCTCGAAATACTTTTTACATAAAATATAAATAATAGTCTACAATGCAGAATTGTACCTTGTTAATTACTTGTATAATTTTTTAGAGAAGTATACAGACCTGTCCCTGAGACCTTTAAATATGGAGACAAAGAGATGATCGAGGGCATCTATAACCTCATGATAATGATAGTTAAAACACATTTCTAAATCTACACCAACAAACTCGGTCAGATGGCGATGTGTATTCGCATTTTCTGCTCGAAATACTTTTTACATAAAATATAAATAATAGTCTACAATGCAGAATTGTACCTTGTTAATTACTTGTATAATTTTTTAGAGAAGTATACAGACCTGTCCCTGAGACCTTTAAATATGGAGACGAAGAGATGGTCGAGGGCATCTATAACCTCATGATAATGATAGTTGAAACACATTTCTAAATCTACACCAACAAACTCGGTCAGATGTCGATGTGTATTTGCATTTTCTGCTCGGAATACTTTTTACATAAAATATAAATAATAGTCTACAATGCAGAATTGTACCTTGTTAATTACTTGTATAAATTTTTAGAGAAGTATACAGACCTGTCCCTGAGACCTTTAAATATGGAGACAAAGAGATGATCGAGGGCATCTATAACCTCATGATAATGATAGTTGAAACACATTTCTAAATCTACACCAACAAACTCGGTCAGATGTCGATGTGTATTTGAATCTTCTGCTCGAAATACTGTTAACATTACATTCAATATATTACATTTACAATCTCATACAATCAGTTCAATGAACAGAAATGCTGCTTTAGCTTTCGAAGTTTAGTCTTCTTCAGAAAAAATTAATGTTTGTAAAATAACAAATCAATATTAGAAATAGTCACTCCAAAGTAATGGGCCTTTACCCATCACGTTAGAAAATCATTGTGCATGTATAAAATATACATGAGTGATCAGTAATCACATGTGTCACCTCATGATGGCCAATTTTATGTTGGGACAAGTTTTGTGACAGACGGACAGACAGACAGACAGTGCACAACTAGACTTGGTACTGATCATTCCTGTAAAGTTTGGATAAAATTGCACCAGTAGTTTATGAGGAGTAGTCTGGACAAGCTTGTGTATCTGGCAATACACAGAAAAAAACACCTTTTTATCAAAGGGCCATAACTCGGCCAAAAATCATTCAACCGGAAAACCCGTGCAATATGCGCAAGGACTTGAGCTACAGATCAATCCTGTAAAGTTTCATTGAAATTGCATTAGTGGTATAAGAGAAGTAGTCCGGACAAACTTTAAAAATAAAAATTATTAAAGGGCCATAACTCTGACAAAAATCATTGAACTGGAAAATACTGACAATATGCACAACTAGACTTGGTACTGATCATTCCTGTAAAATTTGGATGAAATTGCACCAGTAGTTTTTGAGGAGTAGTCCGGACAAGCTTTTGTGTATCTGGCAACACACAGAAAAAAACACCTTTTTATCAAAGGGCCATAACTCGGCCAAAAATCATTCAACCGAAAAACCCGTGCAATATACGCAAGGACTTGACCTACAGATCAATCCTGTAAAGTTTCATTGAAATTGCATTAGTGGTATAAGAGAAGTAGTCCGGACAAACTTTAAAAATAACAAGAGCCCGGTTTGAGCCGGGTGATGCTCCCCGAATAGGTTTTGGACACAGGAAAGTACACCTCATGAAGTTTTAGAGTTATGTCCCTGGAAAAAATTTAAAGTCCAAAATTAGGCAAGGCAGAGTTACTGTTCTTTGCACTGCACTTCTAATCAATGTGATCTATCAACAGGGCCTTTTTACCCTTCTTTGTTGTAGCCGGTATTCGGCTACTTCCCCAAGCTAACTTACTACCCTTTTTTCCCAAAAAACAGTCTAAAATTCCCCTTCTTGCGAAGATTTTCCCTTTCAGGGAAATGTTAAATCGAAGAAAATAACTTGTAAACAAACTCTCTTGTTTAAAAATAGATCATTGTTTTCGTCCAATGAAAGCTAATTCTTCAATTACCCGCTAAAGGGATACCTCGATTGTAAACTCACTGCCTCAGTCTGAGTTTGCAACATTGGAAAATCCCGCTGCTTTATTTTTTAGTGCACACGTGATTTTTTTACGACAATACGGCGACCGATTTACGATGTCGCAAATGTAAACAATGTCACAGAACAAGAAGAAAATACGATTGAGTGACATTTGTAATTGTTTATGAAAAATTGGACAAATTGTTGACCTTCCTGTAAGTGCAAGAGAATCCAATACATGTATCCACTCGCAAGTTTGTGTGTCCGGGTAGCACAACATACCCAATTGTGGGAAATAGCGAGTCTAGCACAACAGTGCCAGTAATAGTGATATGGTGGGAACTGATAATCTGATAATAATGTTCCCTCTGAATCAAATCAAGAACCCTCACATGTCCTACGTAAACTTTCTATAATTAGGAAATATGAGTCAATGTATTCTGGGAAAATAAAAAGTGGCAATAAATTGATCTCTAAAAAAATCCCTTTAACTTATGTTAATAGACAGAAAGCTCCCGAAATAAAGTGTGTTTGGAGGAAAATATGCCAATATATTATGATATTTCCCCCAAATATATGATTTAAATATGTCTTTATTTATAGTAATAGTGGTTTAACTGCCAGTGGAAAATATATTTTTTTTCCCCAAAAATATGAAAACCGCGCATTTTTTCCCCACAAAAAGGGCTAGGGCGCCTTCCCCAAAACTAGTGAAAAGGCCCTGATCAACCTACAAAGTTTCTTGATGATATCTCTTATGATTTCCGAGTTATGTCCCGAACAACTTCAAAAATTAAAAATAAACAAAGGGCAATAACTCCAGAATTAGGCAAGGCAGAGTTATAATTCTTGTGCACTGCACATGTACCCATTAAGATATATCTACCTACAAAGTTTCATGTTGATATCTCTTATAGTTTTACAGCTATGTCCTGGACAAGATTTTTCTAAAAGGGGAGATAATTCAAAAATGAGGCTTAACAGAGTTATGGTTCTTTTGCACTGCACCTCTACTCAATGAGATCTATCTACCTACAATGTTTCATCTTGATATCTCTTATAGTTTTAGAGTTATGTTCCGGACAAAGTTCAAAGTGTTAAAATTAACAAAGGGCAATAACTCCAAAATTAGGACAAAAAGAGTTATTGTTCTTATGCACTGCACATCTACCCATTGAGATCTATTCACCTACAAAGTTTCATGTTGATATCTCTTATAGTTTTAGAGTTATGCCCCGGACAAGATTTTTCTAAAAGGGGAGATAATTCAAAAATGAGGCTTAACAGAGTTATGGTTCTTTTGCACTGCACCTCTACTCAATGAGATCTATCTACCTACAATGTTTCATCTTGATATCTCTTATAGTTTTAGAGTTATGTTCCGGACAAAGTTCAAAGTGTTAAAATTAACAAAGGGCAATAACTCCAAAATTAGGACAAAAAGAGTTATTGTTCTTATGCACTGCACATCTACCCATTGAGATCTATTCACCTACAAAGTTTCATGTTGATATCTCTTATAGTTTTAGAGTTATGCCCCGGACAAGATTTTTCTTTAAGGGGAGATAATTCAAAAACCGGGCAAAAAAGAGTTATGGTTCTTTGACACTGCACTCCCCCTCAATGCCCTCTACCAGTGTATGAAGTTTCAACAAATTATCTCCATGGGTTTTCAAGTTATGCTCTGGACAAGACAACGGACAGACGGACAGAAGGACAAGGCGCCGACTATATGCTCCCCCGAAATTATTTCAGGATTTTTCGGGGAGCATAAAAATTATTAAAGGGCCATAACTCTGACAAAAATCATTGAACTGGAAAATGCTGACAATATGCACAACTAGACTTGGTACTGATCATTCCTGTAAAGTTTGGGTGAAATTGCACCAGTAGTTTATGAGGAGTAGTCTGGACAAGTTTTGTGACGGACAGACGGACAGACGGACGGACGACGGAGAAGTGATCCCTATATGTCGCCACTACTTCGTAGAGGCGACACAAAAATCATGCAAATGTGACCTTATTATATATTTATCTTTAATCTTCATGGATACATGGTAAAAAATAGCTCATAAGTCCGTAAAAAAAGGATGTCAAAGTCCTTGTCTATGTCAAAACAAATGATGTATATTAAGACAAAAATTTATCAATTATACATCCTATTATATAAGTACAAAAATACTTGCCTGCCCCTATGGTATAAACCTTTTCAAAGTCAGCTGCTATTGCCATCTGTTTATATAACTGAGGAGACTGTGCAAGGAATGCACTTCCTTTAAAATACGATACTTTGAATACATTAGCGCCACCTTCTGACGCCGCTGAAATCATACAAAACATTACAATTATATCACTTATATTTTACATCCCAAATAGTCATTCTGTAGGTTTCAGAAAAAGGGATTTTGTAGTTTTCAACAAAAACAAGGAAGCAAAAATGTTATCAGAATATACAGCATTCAGACTGCTGACACACATATAAACCATTCCAAGAAATCATTCTGTATTATCTTTATAATACATTGTGTATGTATTACTGATGTGATTTTTCAGAAAATCAGCTTTGACTAAACATATAAAGTGGCAAACTTGCAACCACTTAATATAGATTCAAGATTTAAACATTTATTCATTATACTTAAGTCATAAATATGGAAATATCTTTGATACATATTTAGGAATCATCCTTTTTATCATATTAGACCTTTAATTTATGTAACAACTTTAACCACAGTTTTACCTGGTATAATTTTAGGTGTATGTAATTCCACAAAACCTTCTTTATCTAAAGTTTCCCTGAATATTTTACACACTCCAGCCTCTAGTCTAAATATAGCCTGACTGGTTGTTGTACGCAGATCTATGATGCGATTGTCTAGTCGCGTGTCTTGATGAACAATAGCTAAACCCTAGAAATAAACATCACGATAGCTAAACCCTAGAAATAAACATAACGATAGCTAAACCCTAGAAATAAACATAACGATAGCTAAACCCTAGAAATAAACATCACAATAGCTAAACACTAGAAATAAACATCACGATAGCTAAACCCTAGAAATAAACATCACGATAGCTAAACCCTTGAAATAAACATAACGATAGCTAAACCATAGAAATAAACATCACGATAGCTAAACCCTAGAAATAAACATCACGATAGCTAAACCCTAGAAATAAACATCAAGATAGCTAAACCCTAGAAATAAACATCACGATAGCTAAACCCTAGAAATAAACATCACGATAGCTAAACCCTAGAAATAAACATCACGATAGCTAAACCCTAGAAATAAACATCACGATAGCTAAAACCCTAGAAATAAACATCACGATAGCTAAACCCTAGAAATAAACATAACGATAGCTAAACCCTAGAAATAAACATAACGATAGCTAAACCCTAGAAATAAACATAACGATAGCTAAACCCTAGAAATAAACATCACGATAGCTAAACCCTAGAAATAAACATCACGATAGCTAAACCCTAGAAATAAACATAACGATAGCTAAACCCTAGAAATAAACATCACGATAGCTAAACCCTAGAAATAAACATCACGATAGCTAAACCCTAGAAATAAACATCACGATAGCTAAACCCTAGAAATAAACATCACGATAGCTAAACCCTAGAAATAAACATCACGATAGCTAAACCCTAGAAATAAACATCACGATAGCTAAACCCTAGAAATAAACTCACTTTATAGTTCATGTCCTAAGTGGCCTTTACATCTGACCTACTGACCTTAAAACGTAAGGGGCCCATGTAGTCGGGGAAATAAAGAAATATTTAGCATTTCAAACTACAAAGAAATTGGCCTCTCTTAATGAAAAGGATCTCTGTAAAACAAGTTAAAACAAAAATAGTATATATATATATTTTTTTAGAAATAGCGGGGAAATATACTTTGTTGAACAGAAGAATGAAGCTTTAAACTTTGACCTTAAATTAGCCCTTAACAAACACAAACTACAATATCTGGCCTATGAAGTCAAAGTGGGGCACCCAAGGGAAAGTGGTTCAGGTTGCTGACGTCAAACCACTTGCCCCTCACCACTGTGGGTTCAAATCCCAGACAAAGTGAACCAAGAGGACAACAGTCATGAGCCATGACAATGAACATAAGATAATGTGATGGAATAAGATATCATGTACTTACATCTTCGGAGTCTGGTCTAGAAGCATCTTCTACTAACAAAGGTAATCTCGGCTCAGATGCACTAACCACCCATACCTGAAACATAGTATTTCACATACCATCACCTTAGTGCAATAACTGAATAAATGCTATTAAATTTAGAAGCACTTATTATGTTATTGAAATAAGGTGACATTACATAAATTATATACAAAATGTATTAATTTCTTGTAGAAAATTATATAGAGAGAGGATAATTATACACTTTAATTAAATATATTCATTAACTGCAGGTAGTTAAATAAAGCAGCTAGTACTTAATTTCTTGTAGAAAATTATATAAAGAGAGGATATACACTTACTAAATATATTCAATAACTAGGGGTAGTTCAATATAACAGCTTGTAACTTAAGTAGAAGCAAGCCTTAGACAAGAAGCAAGTATACTAACCTGTTCAGCATGTAGCTCTACATCTTGTTGTGTACACGACTCTACTTTTTGTGTCACTGTCCTGACATATCCCTCAACATCTATGATAGATTCTTTGTTAATTCTGAAATAAATATAAGATTAGTCTTTCATGTACATTTTTGTCAATGAAAAAGCCTAAATTTTGAAATTTCTGACAGTGTATTTTTCATAAAACTGTTTTCAGCAACATTTATTTTACATTCATTTAGATTTGTTAATATGAAATTTGTTTGATTTATTTTAACACAGTCAAATCTGTTCCTGGAACTAACCAGTACTAAGCAATTATTGTAAAGTTACTTCCACATAGAAACAATGGCTTGCTGCAGACAGGGTTTGAACCCAGTCATGGCCAGCAATCCTTAGATTACTAGTATGATGCGTTAACCACTCAGCCACATCACTTTTATGCTTTGTCTAACTAGAAAAAACATCGCATGCGCCTTTGAAAAGTCAGTCACCAACTCAGTTAATTACACATTTGTTTGCGCAATGTTCACATAGCCATTGGCCATCTGATATCATCTTCTTTAAAATTTATCATGCACCTCTTTCCCACATTTCAAATGCAAACAGTTAAAAAAAAATGCTATTTCTTTACTAATCATGCATAAATTTAAAGGCATAAACACTTATATGAGTTGCATGCTCATTGCAATTTTCTAAATTCTCAGCATGATATGTATTTATTTAATTGCATTTTTACTCAAAATGAATAAATATCCACCATATTATTATTAAATTTTGGTCTTGGTAAAATTGTTTTTAGTGTCTCTATTTCAGAGATATGTTAATAATAAGCTAAGTAATGAAGTAATACAACTCTTAAGACTCAACTTCAATGATTTTTTTTCAATATTATTGGACTTTGTCTGTAAACATCAATTTCAGTTTAAGGCGTAACTACAAATTTCTTCTTTAAAATGCTATGAATGAGGTCATTTAAGTCAATAACACTATTATTTAAGACCCTTTTTCTGAACTTCCGATTTATTAATGTCAAATAATGTCAAAGGGTCTTTATTGCCAATAAAATGCCCCAATAAAACTATAATGCATACATTTGTAACAATAAAATTTTCAATTTATCATAAAATATAACTTTCATTAGTTATAATTCAGCAGTTAAAATGAGCTACTATTTCATAAAACACCTAGAATCATAATTTCAGTGTATAATATACACATGTAGGAGTATAAATTCTTATTCAATTTTTCATAATATTTTTTCCAGGCCAGACTTAAAGAGTATCTTTGTTTTCCCTCCCACGACCCTTGTCAGTTAGGATAATATAATCTTTTACCTTATGAAAATATTTCATTCTTTATTGAACATATTCTTCATACCTTTATTACAAGGATTTTTTTTAAACAAGAGGGCCATGATGGCCCTGAAGTCGCTCACCTGTATATAGGCCCCCAAAGCGGGGCCAGTTTAAACCCCCAGGGCTTTTATTTGAACAAACTTGGTAGACACCCATTAGATAATGTTTCATGCTTAACATCTAAGGTCTAGCTGGTCAAGTTTTTTCTTTAAACATATAGTTAAAAACATTGACACACCTGGGGCAGGGCCAGTTTGGACCCAAGGGTTTTTATTTGAACAATCTTTGTAGACACTTACTAGAAAATGTTTCATGCTTAATATCTGAACTCTAGCTATTCGGATTTTTCGAAGAAGATTTTTAAGTTTTTGCTATACACAAATCAATGACCCCTGGGGTGGGGCCAATTTTGACCCCATGGCTTTTATTTGAACAAACTTTGTAGACACTTACTAAAAGATGTTTCATGCTTAATATCTAAACTCTAGCTATTTGGGTTTTTTCAAAGAAGATTTTTAAGTCTTTGTTATACACATATAAGGAAAATCAATGTCCCCTGGGGCGGGGCCAATTTTGACCCCAGGGCTTTTATTTGAACAAACTTTGTAGACACTCACTAGAAGATGCTTTGTGCTTAATATCTAAACTCTAGCTATTTGAGTTTTTTCAAAGAAGATTTTTTAAGTTTTTGTTATACACATATAAGGAAAATCAATGACCCCCGGGGCGGGGCCAATTTTGACCCCAGGGCTTTTATTTGAACAAACTTGGTAGACACTCACTAGAAGATGTTTCATGCTTAGTATCTAAACTCTAGCTATTTGTTTTTTTTCAAAGAAGATTTTTTAAGTTTTTGCTATACACATATAAGGAAAATCAATGACCCCCGGGGCGGGGCCAATTTTGACCCCAAGGCTCTTATTTGAACAAACTTGGCAGAAATCCATTAGAACATGTTTCATGCTAAATATCTTAGCTCTAGCTCTTTGGGTTCTTTAAAAGAAGATTTTTAAGTTTTTACTATATGCATATAGGGAAAATCAATGACCCCCTGGGGCAGGGCCAATTTTGACCCCAGGGCTTTTATTTGAACAAACTTGGTAGACACCCATTAGAAGATGTTTCATGCTAAATTTCTTAGCTCTAGCTCTTTGAGTTCTTTAAAAGAAGATATTTTAAGTTTTTTCATTTGGTTGCCATGGCAACCAGAGTTCTGCATGGGAACAATTTTCAAAGGTGACCACCAAAGGAACATTCCTGTGAAGTTTGGATGAAATTGGCTCAGTGGTTTATGAGGAGATGTCATTTAAAGTAAAAGTTTACGGACGCCGGACTACGGACGCCGGACGGACGCCGGAGGAAAAGCGATCACAAAAGCTCACCCTGTCACTTTGTGACAGGTGAGCTAAAAAGAACATATACATTTACATGCTATATATTATTCTGTTTTCAGAATCTCTTCCACTGATGTTTCTGCTCAAATGTTAAGTTAAACAAGAGCTGTTGGTAGGACAGCATTTTACTTTCAGTTAATTAACCGGACATCTAAAATTTTCCAGCATTGTCATGTGACCCTACCGCACCAGACTGGTGTCATGATTTTGCGCGGAACAATAATTTATTGTCTATCCACTCTACAATAGCTTTCCCTATTCTTTGAATAACGAAGCTAAAAATAATTTGTTTGGCAATAAATCTTTTGGGTTGCAGTAATGTTCTCACACATGCTTTTTAGAGTCTGTAATAAATTAATTGAAATCTACAGATAACGATCACGTACCCAGCTACAAACTTGATCATTTGTTTGCTGACATTTTCTGTGACATAGATTAAACCTTGTACTGTCCATTTCTGTTGTCGCAACACAAAGAAACACTGTTTTCCTGTAACACATGTAAGGTTTTAGGTTTAGACAATACATGTTCTTCACAAATAAAATACATAAATTAAAGTGAATTAGTTTATACAAATTTATCTTGGTTCATTTGTAAAGGAAGCTATAAGCTTATTGAAACACTCTCAAAACCATTCCTGGAACCAACCAGTACTAAGCAATGAATGTAAAGGAAACATAGGCTTGCCCCTGACAGGGGTCAGCAAAATTACTAGTAAGACACGTTAATCACTCCGCACCTCTATAAAGTGAATTGGTCTATAATGGAATGATTGAGGGAATAAAACAATAAATAATTATGTTGATAGTATTTATTATCATAAATAACAACAAACCACATAACAAACACGATTTCATGTATATGGATGTTGTTGGCAAGTGTGAGAAACATGATCCGATATTACATATATTTATGTAGCAGATGATAAAATGTTCTAGAAGAAAATATAATCATCAATCATATAAATGTTCAAACTGGATCACTTAGAACTTTAACAACATTTTTTTTTCAATCAGTTTTTTATAAGAATATCCTAATAATACATTTCCATTGTTTTCATCAATATTTGAAATTCTAATGGAAAATGTGCCCATTGTACACCAATCCACTTTAAACCAAATATTTAAGTGTTTGTGAGGAAAAATAAAATGCATACAAAACATTACCCAAGATTTTTCTATGTTAAAAAGGGAGACAATTCAATAAGTATCCATGCAAGAGTAATGGGTCTTAGATATTGATCTAAAACACTGATGTTTTTCAAATTTCAAGTGAAATGGCCAATAGTAATGCTAAGGGCGAGACCTAAAATAAATAATCCACTACTCTTCAAATATAAAGAAACTCCTGATAAAATAACTCCTTTAAAAGTTAATGCTAACATTCATCTTTACCTTTACTTCTGGATGTCTGGAGACGTGCCCGAACCCACACTTTAGTATCGGCCAAATCAGCAGTTAACTCTTTCAACGGCAGTATTTTTCTGTCGATCCTCTCCTGTGATTGAATAAGTGGCAGGTTACCATAGCAACCCTGTGATACATCTTTCTCATCAGACTCGACGACCTGAAATACACAGAAATAGATCAACTAAATCACTTTAAATCGAAGGATAAACATTTCACAGCGAGCATTTAATTTCTACAGGAATATATTAGTCTAGACGGTTCAAATTATTGCAGATTGAATTTGCTATATAATCTCTACTTGTACTTCAATGAATATTATTGTTTTAATTTTTTTCAAATGTCATGTCTGCAAATAAGGAAAAAATAATTGTGTAAATGAATCTCTGACCATCTTTTTTTAGTAACTTACAGACTGGCAAAGTATCTGATAATACAAAAGCTTTCTGCCATAAACATTTTGCATTATATTGTTTATTATCATCTATCTTAGTGTTTGAAATTATATTTTGTCCAATAGAATTGCAGTATTTCAAATGAATCGTCACACATTTACTTTGGTAAATCGGCAAAATGTTAATCAGTCTAGTAAATTGACTGTTTGTAAAAATAATTTAAAACACTAAGCTGGTTAAAATTTATAAGAAGGTATTTACAAAAATTAAATTGGTCAAGAACAGTGCCACCAGCCCATCTTTTAATCTAGTAAATGCTTACTAAAAAACACTTAACTTGAAATCAATTTCATAAAACTGTCGATTTACTAGACATATCAAATTTAGTCGCATTACCAAAGTAGATGAATTAATATGATTCATTTGAAATACTGTGATTCTATTTGACAAAAAATAATTTCAAACAATCTAAAGATTTATTTTTCCATTGATAAATCAAAATAACTTTCATAATTCAGTCTGAAAATTGAGAACAGGGTGATATATGAACCTTTAATCTGTCTCTGGCACTAATATAAATTAAAGACCCCTTATGCTGGAGATATATTATTCTTATTTTTTTTCAAACTTTATGACTTTGTTGTCCTGTTGTAGTCTCTGAAAATTACTCTTTGGCTAATCTTTAGAACCATCTTTAGCTTTTGCTGCCTTTTGGCAATTACTGAAGTATAGTGTCTATAATTTAGTATTTTGTATCAAAGTCAAAATACTACATGTACTTTGTGTACATTTTGGTAGTTTCATGATGAATAATTTCACATTTGGCACTACTTTCTACAGGTGATAAGCATTTAATATGCTCTAAAATCATTATTCAAACATTATTAAACTCATATAATGCCTTTTCTAAAGGAAAAATTTATTTGTTTCTAAGCCATAATGTGCCTTTAAATATTATATAATCAACATCACTAATTCTGTGTCATCATTATTTCACAGTAATGGCATATTTGTGAACAGTGTTAACATTTGTAAAACATGTAACCAGTGTTAAAATTTGAAAAAATTGACAACCTAAAAAATAAACTTTTATGCAAAATATTATAAATCTGTAGATTTTAGATAAAATTACTGCAGGAAGTCACAGTAGTCGGATACAATTTGTGCATATGACTGAAACAATCACCAAAATGTTCTTGTTTGTTGGGAAAAAATTGATTTACAAAGGTAAAGATAGTTTGAATATTCAAAATAGTGCAATATGACATTTTAGAAGTACATATTTACTGAAATATGAAGAAACTAGATTGAAACACCTTTCACCATGATTTAAGTGATGACATAATGTAGTCTGGCACATCAAATCTGTTTATGATTGAATATGTTGTTGTTTCCTTATGTCATATGGCAGAAAATACTTTTTATGTTACACCTGATAACAATCTTTTGTACCATAACTTCCGTAAGTTCATTGTTTGTTTCAAAGCATTTGTAAGAACCACAAACTCAGAGAATCACAGTATACTTCATTTTTACTTTTTCCTTATCAGATTCATCTTGATGATATTTACAAAAAATAAATTTATTCTATCATCATGGACATCCATGGCAGACTGGTTATAGTTGCTAACTTCAATTTATAACCACTTGCCCCTCACCACTGTGGGTTCAAATCCTGCAAGAGACTTTGGATTCTTTCATTGAGGAAGCTATCCAGCTAGCATAGTTACGGAACGTTGGCGGTTCTACTCAGGTGGCCCTTTGTGCCAGAAAAAAATGCATGTAAAACACACACACAAAATTCCTTCTTTACTATGCTGACCCTCAAAGAAGGGAAAGACTCTTCAAGTATTGTTGTTATAATTATATATGATAACTTGATAAGTAACCTTTTTGCTGCTGAATTGTCTAAATGGACTACAGACTAGTTACCTACATTTCCAAACAGTCCATTATCAGTGTGAGAGAATTATAAAGATGAAGATTTATATTTTTAGTCAGCAAACAGGACAGAGCCATGGCTGTACAGAATAGCAGGCTCACCTTGTTTTAACCACAAAATGGTTCCTGTATTAAATAGTTAAGCTAGTACCAGCATCATATCTTTGACAATTTGTAATATCAGTCGTATCATAATTTTCATGATAACTAAATCTAATTCATCACAATGGTGTTAATTTACATATGCCACATTATCATAATTATTGTAATGATACTCACATTTTCTTTATTTTCTTGCTTCTTATACTGGGCCTTTTTAGCAGCTTTTTCTGCTTCTTTCTGTTGTTTCTTCAGAGCTTTCTTAGACACCTGACCTTCACCTTCCCTGAAACAAACAAGTCTCATTTTTTATTTCCTATAAAAATCAATACCACACCAATGTCAGCCAGAGGGCTCCACTTTTTTCCTTAAAAAAAATGGCAGGTAAAATTTACTTCCATAACCCTTGCGGTACTGTACCAGAAACTGCAAAGTCTTCACCACTTAGTTTATGTATAACCTGTAAAGCAGGAAATTCAAAATAACACAGGAATTTCACAAAAGTTACACCAAAATCGGCAGATCTATGACCAAAAGGAGTAAAAATGTACAACATCACAAGTTATATAGACAAATATAGTTTGTGATAAAACAAACTGGAAAATTTGCCAGTATCAACTAGTGACATATAATTATGAAAGGAAGCTGATAAATGTTATTGAGGCAAATGTGACTGAATTAAGTTTTATCTGCTTCTTTTTAGTATATTTATCAGTGACTTCTTTTAAAATCAAAGTACTGAAGTACAGAATAGACTTTATAGTCAAATCACCTCCTTATTGTCTAACAGTGTTATCAGTGTGACAAATATGTGCAGGTGGCAGCATGGTCTAGTGCTTAACATGTCTGACTAGTAATGTGAGAATTTCTAGCAGCCTGGGTTCAAATCCCATTAGAGCAGGTCCAAAAATTACCTAGACAAGCACCCTGACCAAGTCTGATGACAACTGAGTCAAAAATGTGACCACTAGAGGGTTTCCAAATATGAGTGGTGTGACCTTGTACAGTTACAGCTTTGAAAATAAGTTCAACAGGTTGAGTAATCTATTGAGAACTGTAGTGCACAGTAAAGCTTTAAGGGTATAAGTTTGTTTATACCGGGATTGGCTTGGAAAAACGCTCATTTACTGAGTTCCAGGTAACATCTATTACTAGGTTTCTATTTTAACAACAATTATGATTATTACATAATTATATAAATGACTTAATTAAATGCAAGTTTCCGTTTGAAAAACAATAAACTCAACCTTGAGTTTTAAAGCTACTATCCCACATATGGTTGTTTGAGTGTTTCTGAAATAAAATGTCATTAAAAGATAAAATTTCACTATGGAAAATATATTATAAATAAAATTTTATATGGAACTAGATGATTTTTATAGCTCTTACACAATGAAAAGCTATTGTAGTAAAGTATTTGCACTTCATGCTGTTATTCTAAACCATTGAATTGTTTTATTTTGAAAACATTGACTTAACTTAAAACCTTATATTAGCACATCCGTTAATTGTTTGCAAGTAGGACAGTCGGTTACAGCCCTGCGGGTAGAACAGTTGTTCTCAGTAAATTTTAAACCTGCAACCAATTGCTGCACAATATATGATAGAAATTAATGTGTACAAAAAGAGACATTGTCACATAAAAGAAGAACATAATATCTTGTTTAACTAGTGTGATAAACAGTGGCGTTTATAGCACTCGTCATGAAATCTGCTAATTTTACTTCTGAATCAAATTTTGTTAAGAAAAGTGTCTGTAAGATGAGAATTGTACAGAAAATTTTGTTCAAATTTTACATCTCCAGATGAGATAAGTATTTGAGTATTTTGCATTAAATATTATGAAATACTCAATAAAATTTAACTCTGTGCATACCAAATACACTATAAAAACAGTGGTTACCCATTCAATTTGATTAAAAGTTCATAATAAAAGTGGTAAAATAATTTAAAACAGCAACTTCTCGGCTGAAATAAAATTGTCGAGTCGGTCCCATTGAAAATGGAAGCAGCGCATAATACCGAATGACAAAATGTGTACTAAAAAATAAACAATTTTTTTTTTATGATTCAGACTTCTCTGTTCATTTTCATAGGCGTAGTGTAACTAATTGTACTGCGCGATAAGATATTGTGCTATTTTCCAGTGTTTTTTTTTCATGCCGAATCAATTAGGCTAAGGCTTCATCTACTTTCATATTAACAATGCAAATAAATTTATTAACGAAAACTCTATGTTGGTGAATATAGTGACAAAATAAAAATGTATCATTAAATTTAGCAACATTGTCAAATCTTGCATCATGTTTTCAATTAAATTTTTACCCCACCCATCAAGATTAACATTGAAAATACACATGTCAAACATAAAAATTTGTTTTGTTACATAATCAATCAAAATCTGTAATGAAGAGCATTACCCTTTAGCTTCCATGTTTTAATTTTAACAATCTGTGACAAACTAGATACTTGTTACTCGGTATTTATGCTCTAATCAACAAAAGTTTCTTTAATTTCCAAAAGCCGGTTGCATGCACTGTTTACTTCCGGTTTACACGTGCCGTTCCCATAATGCAATGCGAAATGGCTGAATGCGGAAAACACGGCTGTGCGATGTTGACTGTTTACAAACCGTAAACCTCATGTATATACTCAAAATATTCCCTTTTTCGAAAGAACAATGCCAAGTTCTTCAAGAAGAAAACAATCAAAGCCTCAGCACCTGACCAGTAAGTAGTCTTTACCTTGAAAATTTAATTTTATTTGATCAAATTTTCTGACAGTTGGGGGTCGCTGCTTTGCATGCATGCATGAAATTACGCACGCGCACGCGAATTATTTATTTTTAATTCCTACCATGTATATAGTACATTGTTAAACTGTCTTTATGTCTTTGATTTTATATCTGATATTATTTTCGCGTAAAATAATCATATAAATAAGATACCTCGGATTTAAGTGCATTCCTAGCATGCATAGAATTGGGTCGATAAGTTGTTGACAATCGTAAAGGAATGCATGACAACACCAATATGGATTTTCAGCAATTCATGAAAGAAAACCTGTATGTTTTGCCACTTACATGAAGTTGTAAAAACTTAAAAAGACTTCATTACTGAGAATGTTTACCTCGATTTAAATATAAAGATAGTAAACAATTATTATTGATAATTATATTTCACAGCTTTTTTGTGTGAGTTGTTCCCCTTTAGTTGTAATAACTTGTACATACATTTCATACTTTTATCCAATATCATGTTAACTTTCATGTCATTGTACTTTTCATGCCATTGTATGTGTAAGCTTGCATATGTGTTAATCATCAGAACCTGGTAGTTAAAATGTTAACAAAACATTTGTCTGATATTTATATATCAGTATTGGCCTCTATTTAAACAATGTAATGTAATGATGTATATGTACTTCTTTTGTAATTAATATATTGTAAAAGATAAAATATATACACAAAAATTAAGCATCAAATGCCCATACATTGTATGGTAATTTTCTACTGACAAACTTAAAAAATTAAAATACAGAATGAAAATATCAGGAAATTATATATTTTTGTCTTTTGATTATCACAGATTATTTTCCACTTTTTTCTTTGGATTACAATGTGTTATGATTCCGGTAACAATTTTAGTGTTTCCAAAATTTTATATCAAGAGTTATCTTTAATTTAAAACATTTGTAATCAACTATAATATTAAATATTTAAATTGTTAATATCATATCTATATATCTTGTAAAATATAATTAACTGTAATTAATAATCTCTAAAAGAAAACAAATAAAAAAAACACATTTATA